ACCTTTCAATGGCATCGAGGGGGGTACAATGGAGTGGCAGGACGCTACAGAATATACCGGATTCTATCTGTGTCAAGCGATTTCACCTAGGGGTACGGATTCCTCCTTGGTTGAGGTTCGCGTCAAAGGTAAGCACTCCGATGTTTGCTCCAATTTTCAAATTTTCTAATCATTATCAACATGATCATCCATCAAAAAAGATGGACTGTTTTTTACATAATCTTTTCTCCGATTTCATTTGTCATGCCTGTTTTTCTCATTTCTTGTTTGCACGAAACTTCTCACTTCTCCCAAAGGAATGAAAGCCATTTTATGGCCAGCCATTGGCATCCTGATCCAACTGGTCATACTGTTAATCATTATTATCATATACGAACGGAGCATGGCAAAACGCCGTAAGGCTGAAGAAGCTAAATCCTCGGACCCCAGTAAGTAGAACCTTTTTCTGTTTCATAATGGGTAGTGCATTTTTTAAACATTGTATTGGAATGTAAGAAATGAAAAGCTGTCTAATATAGGAAATCCTGACAACGCCATTCAATACAGTCTGTATTGATCTTAAGTTCTTTTCAAGCCTGTATCTTACCATTGCGATACTAACAGAGGACAATATCAACCATGAAGTCACCAGAACACATTGTCCACTCATGGGAACAGGCAAATTAAGCTCCGGGAATTGTATTGCCGGATCACAAAAAGCCCCACTAACATAGACGCGGTGTTTGAGTCAAAGGATGACAAAGCTTCCTACTACCTACCGGAGGTTGGTGCCGGTAGCCTACCTACTTCGAACCCCGGATCCTAGAGCCCTCGGTGATTACGACATCAAACCGCTTGACAACGGACAAGTACTGATTCACACAGCTACGGATTCTAATCAGCCAACACTGTGCTGATGCGACTAAAGCTTACTGGATTGTATTCCACTCATATCTGCGCCGTCGTTCACAATGCGTTAGTAACCGAATTGTCCTTCGATTGACAATCTTCACTTTCTCAGTTAACTACGGTGGTGATTTTGATCTAAAACCAATCACGATTGCACACAAAGTTGCAGTGATTTTCGTTTGGGTTTCGTATGCATGTTTCTCTCTCCCTGTCACATGTGGTGCACAGTCCACTTCAACCAGGAAACCACTGTTACCGTTGTCGAGTCATAGTTTTTAGCTTTGTAGGCGGAATGCACTGGCATTTGGAAATCTTTAGTTGTTTGTGTATTGCCTTGTTTGATCGGCGTAGAGCTTAACAATTTGGTACTTGTAGTGAACTATTCATGTGCAGTTCGATCGTTTATACTCTGATTGTGTTTTCGCGATTTCGTTCTTGTATTTCAGAAACCAAATAAACTTGTTCATGGGCGTTGCTCTGCATTAGTGATACTGATCTCCCCCTATTACGGGCAACTGTGCTCAATATTTTTTCCCGCGTGCTATTTCTTCCCCCGTCGTCCCACTTGTTCGAATTCTAATGTTATTACGACAGTCAACTGCTGCTTCTGCTTTACCCCGCCCCCCTCCGAATGATGACCGAGTCCATCTGCGTTTATCTTCATGTTTTCTTTTATATGCCACTTATCCATCATGTGATATTGGACACATTTTGGTGAGTTAGTCCCTTCTGTTACGTACTTTGTAGTTTTGCTGTTGACCACAGATTTACGACAATTTGATGATTGTCTCGCTCCACGCGTTCAGTTCACCACCTCGCGCACATCTGTGATCGGAGTTCATGTGCGCTTCACTCTATCCCAACGGAGAGCTACAATTGTTCCCGTCTGCTGTTCCCTCAGATAGTGTAGCTGTGTTGCTGTCTGGTTACCTATCTATCTGTCCCCTTACCTATCTATCTATAAATTTATCTCAGTAGCTATTTTGTCCACTTGTATTCTCTCTCTCTCTCTCTCTCTCGCTTTATTCATTCTCTCTATATACGGATCCGAACTTTTTACTAATTCTGTTTTTGATGCGTTTTGCACTCCCGATGTCGCGCCTCTTATAACAGTCTGTTGTTTTTTTGTCGCCAAGGTCAACAACAAACCACATCCTACTGATTTACTGAACATGGACAACATTTCGACAAGTAAACATTACCCGTTAGTTCATTATACCCACGCTTATGTGAATTGCTCTGCATACAAAATATGTCAATAAAAATACAGTTCTACTTCGCCCGTCTGCCATGCTATCACCTGTTCGTTTGTCGCGTTCTCGTTAATCGTTGTGTTGATCATGCGCCTACCAAACTGTCTTGTTTTCACTTCGGGGTTTTAGAGGGAATCTAAGGTAGAAAATATTCAACACGATATGCTGCTCTCATTGAATAGGTAGGTGCATTGTGGGTTCTGGTTGCGATGATTCGGATAAATACGTTCCATAGTACGAAAGCAATTTGTCTGATGGGTCGACTCCTTCCGAGCACAGTGTTAACAGTGGTCGACTGATTCGGTTGATTGCTCACCTAATGCATACATGCCAACCATGGCAGAATAATTGTAATTGACAGAATACAATTTACAGAATAACCGTGACACACTCATTACGCGCCTCTTGCTACCGCTACTGTTCTGATAAAATTTTTTAGCAATACTTGTATAAGCATAAGCAGTGAAATTGAAACTTCACAACCAACCCAGAAATACCGCACATTGTCTGTGTGTGACACCACAAAACATCTGTTATTCTTTTACCACCACTTAAAAAGCAATCTTGATCACCCTCGATTTTTGGCTGACATCGCCTAAACCGGATGACAACACTACGGTTAGTATTTTCAGTTTGTCATGCGTGCTCCATTCTTCGGGTTTATCTCATTTTTTAGTCGATGGTCATTCTATATTTCAATCGACTCGATGTATCTGTATTAGTCTGTGACCCATTCTCACAATTGTCCCGAAACGAAATCAATTCGCATGAGGTCACTGGAAAAATAAACAACCATAGACCGTCGCGCGCGCGCCCGCACACGCTTAACACTATTCAGCGGGTTAGGTAGGCTCATATCATGCATCGAACACATCTCCACCGACAATGGCCAAGGTGATTTTTATAAAGTGCATCCAGTGGTATGCATCCCATCTTCTTGTGACAGAGTGCAAATCGATTGAATTCCCCAATGGCTTTCATTTCTTTCGGTCAAATCGCGTTCCGAATGAACGCGGTTTATCCTTGTGCTGCGGGTGTTAGTGATTTTTCACAAACAGCGTTTCGTTTGGTCCGGGGATTTTCTCTCACATTTCCCCGAAACAAACTTGTTTCTCTCCCTGTATGAGATTCGCGGTCACACTCCAAAACACGTAGATCAGTGTACGTGCATTTTAGTACTGATCAGTGATCGTTCATGCACTTGTAGAAAACCGAATTGCGAATAAAATATGTTGTAAAGCTATCAGCTGTGGCGAACACTCCTGTTTTGTATCTATATGCACGGGCTTGGTATGGAGTATAATTTGATGAAAATGTTACAAACTATCTACTTTTAGAAGGTTCTCAGCTTAGAAGAAAAGAGCATCATATCACAATGCTGCACGTTACATGTCCAGGACGATCTCGCTGCATCTCAACACGATACATACTTCAGATAATGCAATGTTTATATGGGGCTTTAAAAGGACAACAAAGTAAAATACGGTGAATGTTTGGATTGAAAAAGACAAATAAAAGGGACGTCATTAGGGTGAGGACAAACTAACAAATTTCTTTTTGTCGACAAGAGGAGAGAGGCCTCCATCGGTTAATGGCAATTGCTTCAACAAAACTTGCGATTCTTTACTTGTAGACGATCTGTTTTTTTCAAGTAACGTTATTTACGATACATTAGTCAGTTAGGTTTAGTGTTAGATTTCTGTTGTAAGCTAACTAGGAGCTTTAAGTACGAGAACATGAATAAATAATAACCTAACTCTACTCATCTTGATAGTTGACCCCGAATCTGAAATCATCCATGCTTTAGACGTCAGTAATTGTGAGACTAACGAAACGCCCCGTAGTATAGTTCGCTCTGTCGTTCCGGCTCCGTGTAATGGAAGTTTGAAGGTTGAAAAATTTCTTCAAACCCTGAAAAATCTCTAACATTCAATGTGTTGCTAAGAAGGAGCTGTTATCCGCGTCATGCGGACAGTATGATTTCTTTGTTCAACTGTACGAAGTCTCTGTGGCTGTCAGTCAGACTTACGTGATCTGTGGCTCAATTCGAAATGCGCTTTGAACCCACGAAGTGCAAACACTATTACTTGAGTGTTTCCCTTTGCCCCCTGCTTCGAGGATTGATGGCAGAAATAGGTTCATGTGTCATCCCCCGAATCGAATGGGTTGATGACGAGTCACAATGACACTAGGTATGTGCCTTTACATGTGTGGAACGGCTGAAACCACTGTAACTTCACTATAGTGTTTTGTTGAAATTGAATTTTGTCCAGTGCGAAGCGTAAGGATGAGGTCGGATCTGAAGAATGCAAATGATGTAGGCACGAGTTGTAAAGAACCAGAATTGTTGGGCATTTATTATTTCCTCACGTTTGATGTACAAGCTATTGTAACTTGGCGGCGTGCGATACTGAAGTAATTGGGAACATATTTCTTTTCCCTCTTTGAAACATACTGGACCGAAAACGTTTAAAAGAATTAAACCCGTGATCTACAGAGATGGTTGTGTTCAAACAACGTCAATCATCGTCACTGGCATGCTTTGGCTCTAAGGTTCGAGGTCCGAACCTAGCCGTCGCTGTCTTAGTGGTGAGAACTGCTGCCCTATGACTCAATATCATGCTCATCCCATCGAGATATCGTATAGTTCGCCATTCCGAATCCGAAATCTGGGTTCATTCAGCGTCCCGAGTTTTTCGGTGGATGCCTAATGAGAGATCATGACAACAACTATCGTCGTATGCCGGTTTTAGTAACTTGTCTTTGAGTGCCTGGAAAGTCATATGCACATGGAGTTGTGAACTTTCGATTCATTCGTGCTACCGGTGACTGTAACTCGTATCCAATGTTCTCTCCTCACCTCAGACTTTTCGGAGCATACACTCATTTTATGTTTCATTTTACTACTATGCACCAATGATTTGATAACATAAAGCCTTCACAAATCGATCGATTATAGGACTCAAACTTGGTGTGCCAGGTGTGAATGAACTCTGCTTGTGCATGCTTTTTTTCATGCTTTCTCACTTCCCGAAAAGTGTCGCACAACTTTGAAACGCATCCGTGAAGCTCTAGAGGATCAGAAATTGAGTATTAATGTGAGTCACGCGACTCCTGGCGCAGTTCAGTTTATTCACATAAGACTTGATGCATAGTGGATAGTGCCGATCGAAGGGCGTGTTGGATCGCTCCAACATGGTTAAATAAATGGTAGTTCCGGTAATAGAACGAGAACAGTACGTGCCTTATTTGATTAGCTGCATCCCCGGTAGTGTGGCTGTGATCAGGAACGCGTTGCGATCCGACCTTCTTGATTGTTGGTGTGTAAAAACGAGTAAAACATCGTTGTACAGCATAATACAGTGAAGCGAACTTCACTGATCGCTGCCAAACTCATGGTGCATACAAGATAAGTGAGAATGTCTGAGGAGGACAGAGATTGGGCCTATTTTTAGGGACGGGAAAAGAAAGCGAACCTCTATGACAACACAGTTCAACTGTGCATACATACTGTTTCAAGCATTCTGGTCTGATAAGAAGTGACAGCATGATCGCCATTGCTGTCGGTTCGCAGCCATGACCTTCGGTGTCTGCAACGACAACAGTGGTCAATAATTGACACTATAGTACCAATGTATTTGCTTTAACCGGTGAACAATACAGCCAGAACGCATTCTTGAGTTGATTGATTGTGCAGTGTGTGTGTGTGTGTGTGTGTGTGTGTGTGTGTGTGTGT